GAACACTTTTATTCTAAACCATCCTTTTACATTATCTTAAGCATGAATGAACTAATTTAGGGTATGGAACTTAATTTAAACTTGATTCCCAAAATTCCTCATTTAGGCCAAATATTTCACCATTTAATTTCTTAAGATTTTCTTCTCATTTTGTCCTAAAATTTTAATACTAAGTAGCCTAAATATATATTCACTCTAAAAATCAATTTAATTAAAATTTAGAATCCTAATTCCTGCCCAAACCCGCATTGGGCCCTAATGGGCCAAAATTGGGCCCAAGCCCATATAACCCATTTCCTTCAATTTTTATCAAAATTTCCATTTTTACTCATCAAAAAATGCTTATTAAAGGGTGAATGACCCATAAAACCAGAATCAAATTGCTTTGAACTCAAACCCTAATTTATTTAGTTTAGGCCCAAGTATAATTTCTAAAAATTAGTGGATTTTTCTTCAATTAAAGTGTAATTTTTCATTCCTAAACATTAATTCATCCTCAAATAAGTCAGAATCAAGTGTCAAAACACCAATTAAATGAAAGAATTCAAAACTCCCAAATTTGGTTCATTGCGAACCTTAACCCTAATTTTTCTCAATCGAGCAATCAAATCAAATCAAGAAATTAAACATGAAATTGACTTGAAATTAAGCATTCTTGTGGTGTAGGTGACGTTAAATTACATGATTAAGCTCCAAATTAACCTTAAAAAGTTAGGTTGCTTGAAAATCCTCTTCCTCCCCTTTTTTCCCCTAAACTTGAATTAGCTCTTTTACTTTTCTTCTTGAAGGTATTCAGCTCCCAACTCAAAATTGAAGCTTAATCCACTAATTTAGAGGGTCTAAAATTGGTTAGGATTATTTTGGATAATTTTTTAGTGGTAATTTTGTAAGAGTTTCCTTTGTGTTTTTCACTTCTCCTTTCCTTTTTAATTTTTCCAGCACTCTTATTTATAGAAAAATTTTGTGGCCTTTTTGATATCATCTCCACCCTCAATTTGGGTAAATATTAGCCCTCAATTCGTTTTCCAATTATTTATTTCCATTTGTCCCATTTTTTGGCCATTTATTCATCTTTTTATTTAACCCTTCCACCTTGCTTATTTTTTGCCATAATTTTTACTAGAAGTCAAAATTAATTAATTCTCTAGGTTGCCCAAATTTAGAAGGCAAATGACTAATTTTGGCCTTCCAAATTTCTAGACTTTTCCACGACCTATTCTTTCCTAAATCCCTCTTTTATGCAAAAACTCACTTATTATCCTCCCTTTTCCATTTCTATGAATAATTTTTGACCCTTAACATTCTTACATAATTTAATTTGGATTATTAAAATTTTAATTTTATGCAATTGAGTCCCTAATTTTATGCAATTTAGTCCCTTATTTTAAAATTACATACTATACTCTTCAAAAATACAATTTATTTTCATAATAAATTCAAATATTTATTAAAGGATTTTATTTTAAATTTTAATAATTTTTGGACCTCATTTGAGCCTCTAAATTAATTATTTAGTGTGAAAATCACACCATTTTTTATTAAAACTATTCCCTATACTTAATAAAATTAATTTAAATTTTCTAGGAACTCCCACACCTCCCATATGATTATTATATGCTCTTTAAAAAAATTTCTCATACTCTTAAGGTGCCTAATTAAATTCGTTTCCTCTAAAAATACTATTCCAACACATCAAAATTCAAATAAAATATTCGTAGCACATAATAAAATTCACCCAAGTACATAAAATAATTCAACACCCCTCTAAAAATTATTTTAAGCACAACAACTATTTTTCATGCTTAAACAACATGCTTTAATTAGTTATTTCATGCAAAAACTACTATTCATGCACCGTAAAATCAATAAAATATTAATTGGGCATAAAATGACTATTTTATCTACTTTGAATATTTTCTCTAATCTTTGTGAACTACTTTATATCTTCAAAATATATCTCATATGTTTTTAAATATTTAATTTTTAATTTTAGCGAGTACTAGTTATTACGATAGTTGTTTAGGGATTGAAGCTTTTGGCAACGAGTCTAAAAATCGTCGTTAATTTTAACCAAAGTTTTCGAATATAACCATTTTCCCCCAAAGATTGAAAATTAGCGACGGTTTTCAAAACCATCGCTAATTTTGGTATTTTAGCGATGGTTTTTTTTGGAAAAAACCATCACAACTTCATTTTGAAGGAAAAAAATAATAAAAATTAGCGATGGTTGTGTAAACCATCGCTATTTTTTTCTGCGATGGTCCATGGAAAATCTTCATAGAAATCGATCACATTTGATCGATTTTGCGACGATTTATAGACCATTGCGAACCAATTCTGGTTCGTCCATGGTAGGTTCAGCAAGAATAAAAAAAACAGAGAGAGAGAGAGAGAGAGAGAGAGAGAGAGAGAAAGAGGATTTGGTAAAGTGAAAGAAGAGAAAGGAATAAAAAAAAAGAGAGAGAGAAGAGGAGAGGAAGAAAGAAAGAAAGACGAATCATTGATGGTTCGTCTATGGTGAAAGTGAGATTCGGGAGATTAGGAAGAAGAAGAAGAAAAAAAAAAGGAAAGAGAAAGAAGAAGAGAAAGAACGTACTGGGAAGGAAAGAAAGAAGAAAAAATTAGGGTTTTGATATAAGATTTATTTTAAAAAAGGGTTGGGTTGTGTTTTTAGGCTTGGATTTAATAAAATGATGTGGGTTGAGTTTAGCCCAACCCATGTATAATTGGGGTGGACTGATTTCGATCCAGCTCGATCTAAAAAAAAAAAGATAAAACTTTTAAGTCGGACTAGTGCAACCCGAACCAAAAAAAAAAAAAAAGTGTCTTACTTTTAATTTTTAATTTTATGCATGCTTATTATTTAATATTTAATTTATATTTTAAATTATATTTAATTATTTTAATCTCGAATTTATTTTATGCATGTTTGTCCGTTTTATATTTAGATTTTAATTTTTTTAATTTTTTTTGTAATTATTTTAATTAATTTAATTTTAAGCTTGAATTTATTTTATGCATATTTGTTATTAATTTTGATTTCAATATTTGATTTTTTTAATGTAACTTTAATTTATTTGTTTAGTGATTAGACTCGATAATTAAAAGGTGGAGGATTGTCAAGTCTCCTAATTTTTTAAGAGCTAATGGTGACCTTCCACCAAATAAAAAAAATAAAGAGAAAATAAAAAAAATCATAAAATGTTTAATAAAGTCTCATATTTGATAGAGATTTTTGTTAGATAAAATAAATTATTTTTAGTGATCGCTTCAATTTCCGACACATCGATTGTGTCGAAATTGAAAATGAATCCGACGCTTGAAAATTTTATTATGACAAGAAAATAAAGATTCGATTTGACATGACCTATAAAATAAAATCTAATTTTAAGTTATAATTAAAAAAATCATAAAAAAGAATAAAAAAATTATTTGTTAATTTTTGTTCAAGTTTTTATATTACTTTATTTCTTCGATACAATGTTATGAAAATATTTAAAAAATTAAAATATATTTTTAAAAATTTATAGCTAGATTATTATGAAATTTTGAAGAATAAATACATAAAAAAAATTGTGTTTTTTTAACTATAAAATTATTAAAAAGTAAAGAAAAAAAGAGATGGAAAATTTTGATTAGGAATTATAAAATTAGATAAAATTTATCTTTAATTTAATATATTTTTATGAACTAATAGTATAAATATGTTTAACTCGATCCATAGTATAGTACGAGAAGCCAATTGATGCCTTCAAAAACTTAACGTCTCGTTCAGATATCAATTCAGTCCGTTAAATATATTAAAGTTGCAATCTTGACCAAATTTAGATAATTGATGAATTAAGCGTTTTATCACAGCATTGCAAAACAGAGAATTCTCAAAAATAAATTAAGGAAATAAAGATCCCACTCGTGTAGTTCTAATAATTTAATCCAAACTAATTAATTATTAAACTCTAGTTTAATGTTTTTCTTTGTATTTATAAAATATTATCGAATTTTAAATATCAAAACAATAAATAATCAAATTCAGTAATTTTTTAATAAATTAAAAAAAACAGAATATATATAAACAAATAATATGGAATTTAAGTAGGTAGAGGTTTGAGGTGCTAGTTAAAAATAGTGGATTGAAAACAAGAGACGGTCCTGATATGCTAATGGCTTCCTAATTAAGAAACAAATAAAATCTTACCTCAAATACTAATTTCATTAAGAACTTCAAACTAGTTTGCTCCTCGCTGTTAGTGTTTATGGATTTTTTTTTTTTTTTTAGAAATTGAGAAATTTGATGTTATTCAGTAAGTAAATAATTATACTTGTTTTATGAGGGAGAGAGAAAAATATTAAAAAAAATAAATAAGTTTAAACGAAAATATTTTTATTATTTTTTGTAAACTCGGACATGATTTTCTCTCTTTTTTTATATCTGTTTTTCTTAAGATAAATTCACAGAATAAATATTATTAATTACTCTATAATTATTTGCTTGGTCACATTGTTGGATAAATAGAACCCAAAAATATTTCCTCAAATTTGCTAAAATTGCATAAAATCGCTCATTTTGTTACTTTGAAGTTGCTTTATATTATTCGAAATCAGCCTTTTGTTTTTTCATTTAGGAAAATTTATATGCTAATTTGATTGAAGAGTTGTCTAACATCTATGTTGTTGTGGTTGGCCTTGGGGAATTTTTCTTGACGAATTTTCCTGGGTTTTAGGGCCATGCCTCCCTTATTCACCAAATTAATACTCACGTCAAGCATGACCCATGAAAATTCAAGGATGAGAGAGGCAAACCGTACTCAATTAGAATTTCATATGATACCTTAATTGGATTGCAATGTTATTGCACAATTTTTAACTAAAGTTGGAACAATCAGGCAAAGGTTTACTTGAAATTACAGAAATACCATTGCAAACTCGACTCCTAATTCAAAGTACAACTTGGGTCATCCACTGCAACAAAAACAAATCCTAATTTCCAATTATTTCGGCACTTACACAGGCGAAGGCAGGAGATTAGCTTGAGCTTGATTTGTTTCTTCCCCTTTGCGGTATCTAAAAATTCCAACTGGTTTTGACCACAAGCCGCGTCCCAACTGATGGAGCCTTACACAGGCAAAGGCGGGAGGATTAGCTTCAGACGGAGGAGGTTGATTAGCTTGCTTTGGGTTTTCGTTTCTGTGTTGTCTAAAATTTCCAAGTAGCGTGGTCCGCCAGTCGCGTCCCAACTGAGCTGTGTGGCGTAGCAACTCGGACAACTCTTTATATGATCCATATGTGAGTCTCGCAAATAAACAGACCCATAGGACAGAAAAGATGCACCCCAAAACTGGGTCAAGAATGACCAGGAGCAAAATGGTGGCAAAGCCGCTAGCAAAGAGGCGGATGTAGCCAACAATAAGATAGTAAATTGATCCACGAGCTCGGAGCATAACCTCAGCCACTGAAGCGGTGGCGTAAATAAGTAGAGCAACAAAGAAAGCGAGCATGAGCCCAATTGTGTGTGTCAAATGGAGATGGCATCGTGGATTTGTACTTCGCTTGGAATTGAGCATTCAATGTGTTGACTAGAACAGCAAAAACGGCCTGCTGCGTAATTATGCTGCCATGACAACAAAATTAAAATGGCTTCAAAAGTGAATTCCACAAAACATAAAAAAATTAAATAGTTTCCCCTTAACTTTGTAATTTGCTTTCCCCGTAAAGATAAAGGATGGTTACTCAATACGGACACCAAAAAACAAATACTACTAAAGTGAGTGAGGTCCAACTATGTGGTTAGTTATGACTTGACCGTCAAACAATTTTTAAAAATTCTCAACTCAGGAAACATTTTTATTTTTATACATGTTAAACGAAGTTCTTTTAAATGGGACTTCAAGTTTCCTACAAGTGATTCTAATAAAAAATCCTTACTCAATACTAAAAAATATAGATATCTTTACTAGAGAGATTAAAATAATTTTGCAGATAAAATTGATAGAAAATCGATGCCACAAGTGTATATTTGAGGTTTTTTTTTTTTAAAGAAAAAAAACCACCGAGTACTCTCTTAGAAAATAATTTTTCACAAAACTTAAAAAGGTATTAGAAAATAAATCAAAGCAAAGAGATTAAAGCAAACCTTCCAGTTTCAAATCCAAGATGTGGCCTGAAGTTGTCTGCCATCTCCTCCACTGTCCTCCTCCACTAGATTGTCTGAAATTTGTTGCCGTGCTTGTGTTCTCGATACTGAGGCAACGGGGCTTCCTTTTATAGTGGAGGACAACTGGCCCATTTTCGCCCATTCTCTCTTTCTTAACATAGTCAAAGAAATGTAATACGCAGGGACGTATGAGGCCGGGCGTCTATGTCTATCATCTTCAAAGACGTCCATATTCTTGTGCTACTTCTTCTTTTCGCAACAAAACGTCTTATGCCTTGGAGAACTCAAAGTCTCGTAGAGATAACAATTCCGTCCCTTAAGTATATTAACGTTACACTTTTCCATCAAAATTAGGTAATTAATCAATTAGGCCTCCTATCAGCACAACATTACAAAACAGAAAACTTTCTCCAAAAAAGAAATAAATAAAGGAAAAAACAAATCAAGAACCCATCGTGCAGCTCTGATAATATTAATTTGAAAGCACTTGATTAGACAAAAAAAAAATGATAAAAAAGAAAAAGAAGAGAGTGTTAGAATCTATATAAACTAATAGAACTCGAATCAATTTTCTTGTATTAAAATCAATAATTTTTTCTTTCTCTGTGAAAACCAACGGGAGAATATTTATATAGGAGCTTTTACAAAGACTTCTTCTCTTGAAGGAAACAATAATAAAAATCTTAATTATCGGAGGCGTTTCCTTCTTAAAAGAAAAGGAAAACAAATAGAGTGCTGGCACGTGTCCCCACACTCTTGATTTGATAGATTTATCATTTTTCAAAGACATCCCTACTCTTTTCCCTTATAAGGAAAAAGAAAAAACGTCTTATGCCTTCGAGAACTCATCGTCTCGTCCAGATATCAATTCAATCCCTTAAGTATATTAATGTTGCAATCTTCACCAAGTTTAGATAATTGATCAATTAGGCCTTTTATCACAGCATTACAAAACAGAGAATTCTCAAAAATAAATAAGGAAATAAAGATCCCACTTGTGCAGTTCTAATAATATGAAATCGAAAAAAAAATCAGTTAGAAAAAGTGATTAAAAAAAGAAAAGAACACAGCGTTAGTCATTAGAATCCATACAGATTAGCAATTGCATTCTTAAAGATTGCTCACGCTTCTTCAACTGTAATTTCAATCTCACCATTCTTACCTTTTTTTTTTTTTTCTGTCCTACTTCTACTTTAAAAAAAAAAAAAAAAAGCATTTATGATATATTTCAATTTTCATTAAAAAGTTTTCGAGTCTCTGAAAAATGCAAACAGATGGCTCGAATTTAAAATTTTAAATTGGAGGTTTGACGTTTAAAGTTTAAATTTTGATATTTGGTCGAAATCATCTCTCAAATAGTAATATTATAAAAATAAAAATTACACAAATAAATATAACTTATCGATTACAAGCTAGATACTCACGTTACATTGTGGTTAGACAACCGTGTATGCAAGATAAACGATTTGTATAATATAGTACGGATAAGAATCTTGTTTTTCGTAATTAATATAAATCAAATCTATTTGCTAAACAAAATCTTTTTGGTTTATATATATATTTATTAAAAAAATAATCAATAATAGTAACATAAACAAGTTGTATTTGAATAATTGAGAGGCTCTTTCAAAACATTATTTCAATTATTTTATTTAAAAAATATTAATTTTAGAGCATAAAAATGAATACATAACAAATAACGAGGGTTATGTGTGCAAACACAATAATTAATTTATAATAAAACTAATGATATATATTTTTTAATTATTTTTATTAAAAAATATTAATTTTAGAATATAAAAAATAAATTATAAATAAGTAGTATATATGCAGATACATAATTAATTTCTAACGAAACTAATTATGTGTGTGTGTGTGTGTGTGTGTGTCTTTTTTTCTATTATTTTTTTATTCCTTTTCTATTTCTTAAAACAAAAGGTAGAACTATTGATATAGCAAAAAGGACAAAAGAATTAGTTTTTGAACCAAAGGGACTAATGGTGTTATATATATAGATACATAATTAATTTTCAACAAGACTATATATATATATATTAAGATCATACTTAGTAGATTCGGAATATACGGTGTAAACAAATTTTAAAAAAAAAAAAACACCTAAGTTGTATGAAATATATTAAAATCAATAAATTGAAATAAAAACTACTATAAAATTGATTCTCATAAAACTTACTTCTTAATTTATGATGAAAGAGATTCTTAATTTGTAAATGAAATAATAAAATAGTTCATCTCGTTTTGAAAAATGAATGAATTACTTTTTTCATTAGTGTTTAGAAATGAATTAATTAATTCTTTTAGTTTCGAAAATAAATTATTTAATTTTTTTAATCAGTATTGACCATGAATAATTTTTTTTTTTATATAAAATGACTTTTTTTTCATATTCTTACTTATTTTTTTATTCTTACTCTATTTCTAAAAAATAAAAATAAAAAACATTGAAATAGCAAAAAAGATAAGAAAAAAAATTAGTTTTTGAACCAAAATGACTAATTAATTATTTCCAAAGAAAGAGAAACTAATTTACAATCACTCTAAAATAGCAAAAGGCTCCAGCTTCTTTGTCGAAAATAAGAAGAAGAAAAAGACATTGAAAGAAGACAGGAGCATTAAATGCTCAATCGAAAAAAGAAGAAGGAAACGACGAAAAAATGCCCAAACGAGAAAATTAGATGGAGATTCAATTAAGGGTAAAAATAGAGTTTCTTAAATCCATTGAGTAGCAAAAGAGAAATTAGCAAATAGCTAGAGGGCAAAAAATTAAGCAACATAATGAATAGTGAATTTAAGCCTAAAACAATAGTAAATGAATAGTAAATATCTTAGTTCTTTTCATTTTTTTAAATAATATATATTAAATTAAAAATAAAAGATAAAAATTTTATTTAATTTTATAATTTTTAATCAAGTTTTGTATTTCATTCGGTTTTTTAATATTTTTCATAAATTTTATTGTTAAAAAAATACGATTCATTTTTTTATTCATTCGTTCTTAAATAAAAACCCACAATAATATAAATATAAATTTTTTAAAAATATCTTAATATTTTTTCATAAGGATATATTAGAAAAATATATCAATAATCAAAATAAAAATTTGTATAAAAATTAACTAATGAATCTTTTTAAACTTTTTAAAAACATGTACATTTGATATATAGACACATAAACATACAAAACGATCAATAATATTAGATATAAAAACATGTACTTGAATTATTAGGTAATTCTTTTAAAATATTATTTTGTTTCAAATAAATTAAATTTAGAATATAAAAAATAATTAATAGGAAATAGCTAGTGTTATATGTATAGATGCATAATTAATTTTTAATAAAATCATTGATCTCGATACTTTTTTGCATACATCATTACCATATTATATACAAATTAAAAAAATCTATTTAACAAAAAACTTAAGTTGTAAGAAATATATCAAAGCTAATAGAGTGCAATAAAAATAATTTAAAATTTTATTTCAAAAAAATTAATTATATCAAGAATAAACTAAAGAAACACGTGAATTCTATTATTTATTAAAAATTCATACACAAAGAAAAATAAATCATATTTATTAACAAATAAAATTTCTTAAACAAATTTAATTTGATGAGAATTTTTATAACAAACCATAAATTTAAGAGATTAAGTTTAATCAATAAAAAAATATAATATGATATATGTATTTGTTCTAAAATTTAAAAATATAAGAGGCCAAAAATAGGTTTTAAAAATATGAGGAACAAGAAATATATTTTGAAAAAAAGGGAGGCAAAAATGGACTAAATTAAAAACATGAGATTTCAAAAATATGAGGATTTAAAAATACATTTTGAAAACATAAAGGACCAAAAAAAATAAAGTGTAAAATTTGAAAATGAATGCAAAAAAAAAAAAACTATAAAAGAAAATAAAAACATGAAAATTCCATTGTAGAAAATCACAAAAAATGCTCAATCGTTAGTTTGTGTAGAAAAAAGTAACAATTGATTTTAAAAAATTTTAACACCTAATTAAATAAAAAAAAGAACATAAATTGATGGAAAAAAGCAAAGGAAAAAGACAAGAAAAGAAAAGGCATGTAGTGCATTAGCTAGAGATTAAAATTTTTATTTTAAAAGTTTACGGAATAAAACAAAATAATTTTAAAATTTTAAATAAAAATATTTTTAAAAAATATGAGGATTTAAAAATACATTTTGAAAACATAAAAGACGAAAAAGAAATGAAGTGTAAACTTTGAAAATGAATGAAGAAAAAAACTATAATGAAATCATGACAATTCCATTGTTAGAAAATCACAAAGAATGCTCGATCGTTAATTTGCGTAGAAAAATGTAACGATTGATTTTTAAAAATTTTAACACCTAATTAAATGAAAAAGAGAACATAAATTGATGGAAAAAAGCAAAGGAAAAAGAAAATGCATGTAGTGCATTAGCTAGGGATTAAAATTTTTATTTTAAAATTTTAAAGACTAAAACAAAATAATTTAAAAATTACAAAAAAAAAGAGTGAATAGTAAATGAGGGGTTGATCAATAGTTTGTGGGAAAAAAAGTGACGATTGATTTTTTAAAAAAATTTAACACCTAGATAAATAAATAAATAAATAAAATAAATTGATGAAAAAAACAAAAAAAGAAAAGAAAAGAAAAGGCATGTAGTGCATGAGCTAGGGATTAAAATTTTTATTTTAAAATTTTAAGGACTAAAATGAAATAATTTGAAAATTAAAAAAAAAAACTTAGAGTGAAAATCACTGATCGAAATGAATAGTATAATAATTAGAAAGTAATTGTTCAATCACTGTTTAAATAAACGATGAACTCTCTAACTGTTTTAGTTCTTAGTAGAATATATCTGGTAACTTTTTCGAATGAAACAAGTTAAAGTCCTCTAAATTTTTAGTTTATTTTAGTCTTTATTATACAATGAGGAGGTCTCTCTTCTTATTGTATAGTCCGAAGCCCAATACACCTCCTGATAATCCAAAAATATACAAACATTTTTTGTTGTTTCTTTCCCATTGTAAAATAAATAAAATATAATATTTTAGTAGTGTATAACGGTAAATAATTATCACTCGATAACAACATTATAATAAGAGTACAAGTAT